ACTTATTTATTTTTAAACATGTCCTTATTAGTCCTTTAATGTTAAACAACAACCGCTAACTATTGTATAGCCAAACAATTATATTTATCGAATCCGCTATTTACCATCCGTTATTCACTTTCTACTATCCGCCATCCGCTATCTGCTATCCGCTAACCACCACCCGTTACCCGCTACCGTTATCTGCTATCCGCTATTCGCTGAATTTTAACCGCTGTACCAAACAGGCCCTATATCTTGTTATTTGGTAAAGCTCAAATTTCCGCTACTTTAGCCATTAAAGAAGTCCTAGACTGTTTTTGTTCTTGCTCAAGTCAAACTATTAATGCCCAAAAAATCCAAGATCCTTTTCTCCTCTAATGTTTGTTTTGACTCTTGTAACTCAATTTGCTTTATTCTTGGATTGAATAAGGCCAATAGCATTGGCAAATACTTAGGCTTCCCTATCATTTCTAAAAGACCTAAAACTAACTTTGAATTCATCCTTGACAAAGGCTAAACAAAAACTTTGAGGTTGGAAAACCAAATCTCTCTCACCTACTAGTTGACTCACATTGATCAACTTGTTCTAACCAATATTTGCAACTCTCTTGATAAACTTGTTCATGATTTCCTATGGCTAGATGAACCAAACAAGCAAAAGCTTCATCTTATCAACTAGGATACAACCCATCAACCTAAGGGTCATAACGAAGTATCTGGAAATGTAACCAACTAAACGAAGCTTTTATGGCATTTGCAAACACTTCCATAAAGCCCTTGGATTAAACTTCTCCAAGCCAAGTATTGCCTTCAAAGATCAACAAGTCAACCCTCATATATTTGGAGGGCCATGGCTAAAATATTTCCTTCATTCTTAAAAGGAATCTTATGGAGTGTTAACAAAGCAAACCAAATCAATTTTCTTCATGATGATTGGCTACATTTTGGACCTCTTAACAAAATAATCTATGGGCTTTTCCCTCAGGACCACTCATCTCTCATGGTTGTTGATGCCTTTGCTTTCCATTCTTCCTTCAGTAAACTTCACTGCTTCCTCCCCTTTTCAATTGAAACTTTTATTCTTTCCATATTTGAGCTAGCTAACCCATATGAGGAAGATTGGATTGCATGGAAACTCACTCCTACTAGAGCTTTCTCCTTCTCCTTTGCATCTATAATTTGGCTTGCAATTTCACTTCTTCTTTGAATGAATTCTTTTGGCAATGGCTGTGAAAATGCCCTTCTATACCCAAAATTAAATTTTTCTTATGGTTGCTTGCCTATGATAGGATTCCTTCTAGATTGCTCTTGTTTTCATGAGCAATGCAAATTCCAATTGCATGCCCCCAATGTAATTCCTTACTTGAGTCTGCGCTTCATTTTTGAGAGATTGTCCTATAGTCTTAGAGTGGTGGCAAACCATTCCTATCCCTTCAAACCTTCTACAACGCTTGCAGTTTAATTTCTTCAATTGGTTAAAGAGTAATTACACCTCCAAACTTTGGCTTAAGCAACCACAAATCCCTTAGTCTACAAATTGTTTACTTAATTATTTGGAATTTGTGGATAGATAGGGACAACTTGTGCTTCCAAAACCACTCTAATTTTCATGAATCTATATGCAAAGTCATGTGTTTTGCTATTAAATTATGCTCATTTAGATTCCACACAAAGAAATCCACTTCCCTTTCTTTTCTACTTGTTAGATGGACTCCCTCACCAATCAATTGGTATAAAATTAACACTAACGGTTCCTATAGTTCCTCACATAACAAAGCTAGTGCTAGAGAGCTTATCAAAGATCATGAGGGCAATTGGGTGGTTGGGTTTGCTAAAAACCTTGGCTATGGAACCAACAATGATGTCAAACTTTGGGGAATCAAGATTGGTCTTGAATTAGCACTTAATTTGGGCCTTATAAGGGTAGAGGTTGAAGTTGACTCAACCTTTGCCATTAACACACTATTTTATGCTTCTATTATGAATAAAACTCACAAAGCCTTAGTTGCTTCATGTAGATTGTTGAGCCAGATGTTTGAGGATAAGATTGTTAAGCATGCTTATTAAGAAGTAAATGGAGTGGCTAATACACTAGCCAAGTATCATCTCCAATTTCAAGGAGAAAACCTAAGATGCAATTGGTAGCTTTTCTTGCCTTCTAAAAGATTTTTATATCACGAAAAAAAAAAGGGGAAAAAAATAGAAGATAGAACATAAATAATACCAAGAAGTGTTAAGGTGAACATTCTAATGTTGAGGTAGATTATGTACTCAAAAAAACATGTTTTGCAAGGTCAACATAAGAACTTCCATCAACTTCAATTTTAGTTAGATTTAGCTATAGCACTGCACAAGAAGCATATGACTAGAGAAACCAAATATAGTAATATGAAAGTGATATGCACACTACCTAGAAAAACAAAAAGTAGCAAAGGGAAAAAGCATAAAAAGGCAAGATATTTATAAGACATATGCTGATAATATGAACAAGATACTTAAAAAGTACAAGTCCTCAAGATTGGCAAACACAAAATATGAACTATTCAATTTAAGTAGCAATTACTAAATCATTTTTAGATTGAAAAAAAGAAAGAAAAAACTTAAAGTCTATAAAAAAGAGCTAGATAAAAATACCATGAAAGGGAGATTGAGATTCCAAAAGTCTTAGATATTTAAAATTAAAAGAAATGTTAAAGAGCAAATTACAAGTTACAAGGAAAAGATCTAGATATTGACCCTAGGGAGTATAAAACAAAGAAGGCATCATCTTTGTTACTCTAACATAAGAGTATGTTAGTGACATTTTTTTTTTTTTTTTGGAATATAGTTAAAAGGTTGAGAAAAAGAAACTAACAAAATTAAGAATCTGTAACTTATTTAGTTAAACAAAGCTCATAAGAAAAATAAAAATGAATATTAATTGTAAGTTTAAACATGGAAGGAGAAAAATGATGTGTTCATTGATTTTGGGGTTCAAATATAGTAACATAAAACAATGAAAAGGATGTCGAAAAAATAATGAAAAATAAAAAAATTATACAATATAAAGGAAAAGACATAAAAAGAATACATTACCACCACTCTTGAATTGTCATTCGCTAGTATAATTAAAGCTTCAGTTCTTTAGCTTGGAGAATGAGTAGTTACCTTTGTTTTTAAGTTGCAAACTAGACAAAAAAAGAATAAACAACTAGTTAAGCTAAATATCTCTAAACCCCAATAGTTCAATTTAACCCACCTTATCAATTTAACCCACATTAACTACAATATTATGGTTTGTCTTAACCAACCGTGGCTCTATCCACAAGCATTAATGATGAGAACCCCAAAGAGAACAATGAGACCCATAGCACGACAAGGGATTTCTAAACTCTAGGAAAAGCTAAATCTGGTTTATAATAGGACCTTGACTCGTTGTTTATGTCGCAACAAGAACCAAAGGTAAAAACCTTGATCCGTTGTCTATGACGCAACAAGAACCAGAGGTATAAAGTTGGTTGACGCCACACCCTTGAGCGATTAAGAACGAGAATGATAAATCAGGTTAGAACGCCACAAGAATAATCTTGATAAGTTCTATAAAGTTCTGAAACGAACCAAAGAGAAAAGTCTCTCAAAATCTCAGATTCAATAGCCTCCCTCCCCATTAGGGTTACAAGCCTTTTAAATAGAGAAAACAAATCCTAATTAGAATAGGAAATTAACACCCTAAGTCCTAAACCTAATAACCACGAATTGGGCTTCAAATAAGCGAATGTTCAGCCCAAAAATAATACAAAAAACGTGAAAGTCACTAAAAATAACCTAAAATAACACAAAATATCAGTTTGCTACAAATTGCGGTAGAACTGTGCGATTTTGACGCAAACTGTGTAATTCCATGCAAATGACCTCAACTAAGCTTCTTTTGAACTTGAATGATGTTTACCATGCCTTGATAATCATCCAAGCTTCTATTTGCTTGTTGTATGTTGTTTTCAACCCAGATCTGCTCAATAAGGCCATTTAAAACTTCACACATCTTCTTAGCTCTAACTCACGTGATTGGACCTCCTTGGGTGTGTAATGGATCACATGACGTAGTAGATATGCTGTCATCTTGATTCCCATCATTCCCTCTCTCCTCAAAAGGATTTGTCCTCAAAAGGATTTGTCCTCAAATCATCACCTACATCAAAAGGAGAAAGCTCATAAACATTAAAAGTAGCACTAACATTATACTCACCAGGAAGCTCCAACTTGTATGCATTGTCGTTTATCCTTGCAATCACTTGAAATGGTCCATCGCCTCTTGATTGCAAGTTAGAATGCCTTTGTGCAGGGAATTGCTCCTTCCGCATATGCACCCGAACCCAATCTCCAGGTTCAAACACAACTTTCTTGCACCCTTTGTTGGCCTGATTTGCATATTGCTTAGTTCGTCGCTCTTGCATCAAAACAACACCAATGCCAATACTTGATGCATCACATTCAATTTCAAAAGTTTTAGTAAAATCAGGTAAAGCAAATAATGGTGCAGAAATTAAATTCTCCTTAATCAAATTGAAAGCATTCTCCTGTCCACTTTCCCACTTAAATCCAACACTTTTTTTCACGATTTTAGTCAATGGAGCTGCAATTGTGCTGAAGTCCTTGATGAATCTCCAGTAGAAACTCGCCAAACCCTGAAAACTCCACATCTCAGAAATATTCTTAGGTGTTGGCCATTCTTTAATAGCCTTAACCTTTTCTTCATCTACTGCGATTCCATCAACTGAAACAACATAGCCTAAAAAAACAAACTGATTTGTGCAAAAGGAACACTTTTTAAGGTTAGCAAATAAGTTTTCTTTTCTCAAAACCTCTAATACCATTCGCAGATGCTCAATATGATTAGTTAAACTCTTACAATATATTAGAATGTCATCAAAATAAACAACCACAAATTCGCCAATGAAAGCACGCAAAACATGATTCATTAATTGCATGAATGTACTAGGCGCATTAGTTAATCCAAATGGCATAACTAACCACTCATATGAACCATGTTTTGTTTTAAAGGCTGTTTTCCATTCATCACCTTCCGTCATCCTAATCTGATGATATCCACTCTTTAAATCAATTTTAGAGAATATGCAAGAACCATGCAACTCATCTAACATGTCATCTAATCTAGGAATAGGGTGACGATACTTTACAGTGATTTTGTTGACCGCGCGACAATCAACGCACATACGCCAAGTCCCATCCTTCTTAGGCACAAGAAGCACTGGAACTGCACATGGACTTACGCTTTCTCTCACATGTCCCTTTTTCATGAGTTCTTCGACCTACCTTTGAAGTTCTTTTGTCTCATTGGGATTGCTTCAATATGCTGGTCGATTTGGAATTGTTGCACCAGGAATGAAGTCAATTTGATGCTTGATTCCTCTTATTGGTGGTAAACCATTAGGAACGTCATCTGGAAACACATCCTTGAAGTCCTGCAAAAGAGATTTAATAGCGCTAGGCAAAGAATCATTAAGTTCGTTAGTGTTGAAATAAGCATCTTTATACAGAAACACAAACATAGGCTGGTTTGCAAAGAACGCAGCCTTGACATTACTTTCTTTTGCATAAACACTCACTGATTTTCTCTCTTTGTTTTCAACACTCTCAATCTTTTCTCTCTTTTTTAACTCTTTCTCTACTGTTTTCTCTCTGCTTTTCATACCCTCAAGCTCACTCTTTTTTTTCAGTCTCAGTTGATCCTCATAAACCTGCCTTGGACTCAACGGCACAAGAGTAATTGTTTTTCCTTC